TGCAAAATGAACCACAGAAAGAGAAGAAGGGAAGTCACTGATTTAAGGTTGTCTAAATGAATATCTTGAAATGTAAATCAGAAAAAAATTATGAAAACTATAAAAAAGAACTTCTTGGTGACATCCGTTACAGAAGACAGAACTGTGTTTTGAAAGGCTAAGTCTTGTATTTGGAGGCATTTGATTTTAATAGAATTCTGGATGAAGCCACAAAACAGACAAGAAGGGGTCTTAAAACTATCTATACATTGCCATTGTCATGTAAATTTGTGTCCTCATTTGTCCTGTTTTCTGGCAGGCATGTTTCCTCTTTCTTGACAATGCGTAAGTGACCACCCTAAGCGCCAGTTAATACATTTCTAAGGCTGTCCCAAAGTCTTTTAGTTGATTAGTCATCTGAATGAATTAAATTTAAATGTCCTTGCATGTTGCCAAATCTTTGATACAAGCGCTTTTTATGGACACCGAAGAATATGGGTGATAACATTTTGCATCACGAACAAAGACCTGTATCTCCTTGTTAGAAGCAAACACTGTCTGGTATTTTCTGTTAAAGCAAAATTAACATTTGACATAACAAACAAAGATCTGTATCTCCTTGTCAGACGCAAACACTGTCTAGCATTTTCATTTAGAGCAAAATGAACCATCTCGTTTTTTTCCTCCAGTCTCAGCCACTCTAATTGCAATTTGCCTCCACGAAAGTTTTACAAGCTTAATCCACCAATTAAATTGATTAAAGCATTCACAGCTTTGATCTAGTACAGACTTTACAGTTTTCTGCTCAGATGGAGAAGCCACTTGCTGACTTAAACACTTGCCTTACAATCAGGTGATTTTAAATGAATGGTTTTTGGGTTATTATTACAAAAGAATAATAATCCTTATACACATAGCTATCTGAACACAATGTGTTCTCGGGGAATCATTCGTTAGGGAAGCCTGTTGCATAATGAGTTTGACGAATTTCATTGATTCCTATAGGGAGATTCTAATGCATGGATAGGCAAACTAAGGCCCAGGGGCCGGATCCGGCCCAATCACCTTCTAAATCTGGCTCACAGACGGTCCAGGAATCAGTGTGTTTTTACATGAGTAGAATGTGTGCTTTTATTTAAAATGCATCTCTGGGTTATTTGTGGGGGATAGGAATTCATTCATATATTTTTTTCAAAATATAGTCCGGCCCCCCACAAGGTCTGAGGGACAGTGGACCGGCCCCCTGCTGAAAAAGTTTGCTGACCCCTGTTCTAATGCATTCCTGATCATGAAATTTTGCCCCCAAAATGACACACACACACACAAAAGGAAGAAGCAAAAAGACCTACTAAAACCTTACAAAAGGCAAACGAGAAAGGAAAACTACTGTTATTCGTCCAGTCTCTCTCAGTACTACACACAGGTGTTGCAGTCTGGATATCTGAATTGGTGGTGGGTATAACAATGTTTGGATAATAATTCCTCATGTTTGGATAAGTGACTATTTCGTATGCCAAAAGTGTTAGGATAGTGGGACTGACATGTACCGTATGTGGTAAATTAATACACCCAGCAGAAAGACTGCATGCGATACAGTGCAGTTCAGTATCTCATAAAGGTAACATTCTACATGTCACAACATACAAACATATGATCAGCGCTTTTTTCTGGGGGTATGCGGGGTACGCATACCCTAAACATTTTGTGAATCTTTGTACTTTTGTCCATTTACTGTACAGTGGTGCCTCGCAAGACGAAATTAATTCGTTCCGCGAGTTTTTTCGTCTAGCGAATTTTTCGTCTTGCGAAGCACGGTGTAGGAAAAGTTTTGGAAAAGCTTCAAAAATCACCAAAAACCTCAAAAAAGGCTACCACACCGCGTTCTATGAGTTGCTCCTCGAAGTCAAGTCGCAACTGTATTAACGGTGTTAAGAAAAAGGAAACAAACTTGCAAGACATTTTCGTCTTGTGAAGCAAGCCCATAGGGAAATTCGTCTTGCGAAGCAGCTCAAAAACCGCAAAACCCTTTTGTCTAGCGAGTTTTTCGTCTTGCAAGGCATTCATCTTGCGGGGCAGCACTGTATTTATTTCCCCCGATTTGGTGATTGTCTTGAGTCAAAATGAGAGTATCCCTGAACATATTTTTAGGAAAAAAGCACTGCATATGATCAACCCTCACCTGTAATCTGAAGTGATACAGTCCAATACTGGACATCAGTTTACCACCTTAGTTCTGTGTTTAATCTGAAGAGCAGTTCTAAGGGTCAACTTGGATGTAATGCAGCAACAGTCTCCCTCCCTCTCTGAAAAGCAGGTAAAAAGGTGGGATAACTTCAACAGGTGAGAAGGAGGAACCACTTAATCCTATTTCACCAAATTCAAATGTTCATTTGCTTTCTGCAGCAGACAAATGATAAAGGTAAAGGGACCCCTGACCATTAGGTCCAGTCGTGTCCAACTCTGGGGTTGCGGTGCTCATCTCACTTTATTGGCCGAGAGAGCCGGTATACAGCTTCCGGGTCATGTGGCCAGCATGACTAAGCCACTTCTGGCGAACCAGAGCAGCGCACGGAAATGCCGTTTACCTATTGATCTACTTGCACCTTGACGTGCTTTCGAACTGCTAGGTTGGCAGGAGCAGGGACCGAGCAACGGGAGCTCACCCCATCGCGGGGATTCGAATCGCCGACCTTCTGATCGGCAAGCCCTAGGCTCTGTGGTTTAACCCACAGTGCCACCCGTGTCCCTAGACAAATGATATATTTCCCCCTACAGGTGAGGAAGTGGCTTCTGGGTGGTGATTTTGAGCCGAAAACGACAGGAAAGGAGAGAATCACACAACTCTCCCTCCACCTGTGTCCTTTTACCTCCAACTGAAGCTTCACACATTTGCTTTTGTTTAAAAGGAAAAAAAATACGATGGGAGCTTGTTAATGCGTATGATCCATAACATTTACTTTGGTGCTACGTCTCCATGGGATCAGAGCGAATCCTGAGGATGAAAAATGCTAGACTTAATGTACCTAGCACTCTCAGCCAGATTCCAACAGAGTATTAGGTGTTCCTAGGCTCTGTGTTTTAAAATTCTGGATTTAAACTGCCTCCGTAGCCCTTTTCCTAACCTCCTATCTAAGAGAAATACAGAAGTTATATGTGATTTAATAAGGGGCTATACTTTAAAAAAATTATACTTTTCAAGTTTACACGTTTCACTATTATGCATTTCACTAATTTTACATTCATTTTGATATTTCGAAACTTGACTTCCCTCCCCCTCTTTCTGCTGTTCCTTAAATTTATTTTTAACATCTTCTGCATATCCAAATTAACTTAATTTACTCATTTATTCATCTTCTTTAAATATATACTCTTATGAAACTGCAGGTTATTACAATAATCCTGCCGATGTTTTTATCTGTTTATAGTTTATCTGTAAATATTCAATAAACCATTTCCATTATTTTATAAAAAGTTTCTTATCTTGATTTCTTATTCTTCCAGTAAGTTTTGCCATTTCTGCATATTCCATATTTTTTTGTATCCATTCTTCCTTTGCTGGGACTTCTGCTTCTTTCCATTTTGAGGCGAGTAACATTCTTGCCGCTGTAGTTATTTATGTAACTTATACATAAATAAGTTTCTATATAGTTTAGGTAGTCTATCCCTATAATTCCCAAAAGAAAAGATTCTGGGGGTTTTTTGGGTGTTTTTTTTTACAAAGGATGTTTTAAATATCCTTTTCATTTCAGTATATATCGTTTCCCAGTAAGCTTTAACCTTACTACAAGACCACCTTCTTCTTCTTCTTCTTTGACAATCACTCGTAGCCAAGTAAGATTGTCTTTCATAAAGGCTGTTCTCCAGTTGGAGAGCTCGCAGGCCAGTGTTTCCCATTTGTTAGTGTTTATACTACATTTTAACATTATACTACATGTTAGTGTTTATGCTACGCGGGTGGCGCTGTGGGTTAAACCATGGAGCCTAAGACTTGCCGATCAGAAGGTCGCCGGTTCGAATCCCCGTGACGGGGTGAGCTCCCGTTGCTCGGTCCCTGCTCCTGCCAACCTAGCAGTTTGAAAGCACAGTGCAAGTAGATAAATAGGTACCGCTCTGGCGGGAAGGTAAACGGCGTTCCCGTGCGCTGCTCTGGTTCGCCAGAAGCGGCTTAGTCATGCTGGCCACATGACCTGGAAGCTGTACGCCGGCTCCCTCGGCCAATAAAGCAAGATGAGCGCTGCAACCCCAGAGTCGGTCATGGCTGGACCTAATGGTCAGGGGTCCCTTTACCTTTATACTACTTTTTTTTAAATTTGCCTTGAGGCAGTCTTTAAACCTCCTTTGTTGACCACCAGGATTATGCTTTCCATTTTTAAGTTCGGAATGGAGTAGTTGCTTTGGAAGACGATAATCAGGCATCCACACAAAGAACCCTCTTTCTATTCCCATTTCCAACACTTGGGACTGTACTTTTTTTAACTACCTGTAAAGCACTGTGGCCTTAGACTGCCTTCCCGTGCACAGTTTGGAGCAAGTCCCGTTGAACTGAGTGGATCTATGCCTGAGCAAAGGTGCATAAGATAAGGCTGCGCAAATCTCATGTATTGACTCAAGTTTATAAATAACTGTGACCGGAGAAGTCTTGAGCATCTGCTGGCTGAGAGCAGTTGGGCAAGGGGTTAATTTTGCAATCATTCCACGGCATGGTTATATCCCAAAGCCACCTCCGTCTGTAAAAGAAAGGGGTGGATCCAGAAGAGAGGAATCGAGAGTGTTTGTGTGTATGCCTGCATTTCTCTCTGCGGCATTTAAGCTGCCTCACGCCGTCCTCAAAGCAAGCGTCCCCAATCTTCTTTGAATTGCACGGACTAAGCACTCCTGATGGGTGGCTGAAGAAGAATAACTCTGGACAGCGACTCTTGTCAAAGCCCACCGCTGCAGGTTTCTTTTAGGCCTGAAATAATGGACTGGTAGTCCCCAAACTATGCTTGCTGCCTTAGAAACTAAACTCTGAAGAGTGAAGGATGGATCTAAGTAATGACAGCCTACTTGACAGCAATATTCCTGCTTTCCTGTGCAAGCTTGGCTTGGAAAATTACACCATTTTCTGCCCGAATCACTCTCAGCCTAAAGGTAGGGTACAGTTTATTTATATATTTGTAGCAATACATATGCATTTTTAACACCATCCACTTCACCTGCAACTAGTTTAGGATAAGCAGTTGATAAAGGGTTTTAAAGCAAAGCTCTGTGAAAACATTTGCTGATAATAATTAGTCATTTATATACCACATTTCACTTCCAAATGAATACCAAGGTGGCTCACTAGGCAGAAAGACAACAGCAAAATACAACAATTAAAACTATGTCCACGAAATGAGAATAAAGCGTCAGTATCAAATACATTGCCCAGAACCTCCAAAAGCTGCTAATAATGGCCAGGGTTTTGTTTTTTTTAATGAGAGTGGAAAGTCAAAATAAATGGTTTTACTTTCTGATGGTAACTATGCCTACAAAGCAACGTATATGTTTGCTGGAAAATTGAACAATTGCAACAATTGCAGGGCAGAAAATGCAAAGAGTAAGCTGAAACACTGGTGCAATTTTAAAAGTTTTTAAAATAAAACACACACAAACACACACACTCCACTGCAGTTATTATGAACTGCATATAGAAGGACTTAGAACGAGTGTGTGTGTGTTTTATACCAAAGGTGTCAAAACACAGAGTCATATATTACACTACCTGTTGTCTGATATATTCCTAAGTGGATAAAAATAGCGATTTGCAAGCTGCATAATTTAGAAGGGTTATATTGTAAGAAGTACCAGATGCTGAATATGCTATGCCTTTGAGAAAAGGCATGAGATGTGTTCCTTATAGACCAGAACTGAGCTGCTTGAGAGCGCAGCAGAAGGAACGAGACCAAATGCAACCAGATCTCTGGTTTACACCAGCCTATCTAGAAGGGCTGGTTGCCACCCTTTTCACAGCAGTCAATATAGCACTGCCTCACATTTTAATTTATAGCTTCCTTCACATTTTAGGACAGAACTATATGTCCTTCGGCAGCTGATACAGAAATCCAGCCCCATCTCCGTCTCTGATGTGCAAATCGGAGGCAGGGGAGGTATTTGCAGGGGAGAAGCAACATGCAGCAGTTGCTTTCGCCCTGTAACTTTCCTGTATGTACCTGCCCTGCTCTCGCTCCATTGACAGGCAAACACAGTCTCAGGCCTCTGGCTGGGAGGAGAGCAACCAGAGATAGGGCTTGCTAGGGAGGCAGGTCCGTATAGTAAAAGCCATGGTTTTCCCAGTAGTGATGTATGCAAGTGAGAGCTGGACCATAAAGAAGGCTGATCGCCGAAGAATCGATGCTTTTGAATTATGGTGCTGGAGGAGACTCTTGAGAGTCCCATGGACTGCAAGAAGATCAAACCTCTCCATTCTGAAGGAAATCAGCCCTGAGTGCTAACTGGAAGGACAGATCCTGAAGCCGAGACTCCAATACTTTGGCCCCCTCATGAGAAGAGAAGACTCCCTGGAAAAGACCCTGATGTTGGGAAAGATTGAGGCACAGAGAAGGGGACGACAGAGGACGAGATGGTTGGACAGTGCTCTTGAAGCTACGAACATGAGTTTGACCAAACTGCGGGAGGCAGTGGAAGACAGGAGTGCCTGGCGTGCTCTGGTCCATGGGGTCACGAAGAGTCGGACATGACTAAACGACTAAACCTTGCAAATGCCTACTACACACACACACACACCCCTTTGCATATCTGGGTGAACAGCTGCAAAGAAGGACAGGGCTCTTGGGCCTGCAAGCGTCGTCGTTTAGAAGAGGGCATTTGAGAAGTGTGCCAAGATGGCAGCAGAAAGAAAGAGCAAGGTCTGAAAAATGCCAGCCCTCCAAGTTACCCCTAGGGGTCCGGCAGGCTTCGTGTGACAAGGATGAGAGAGCTGTCGCCTGCTGAAATAACCTCTTTCCTGCAACTAGGAAGGGCACAGAATCCCAGTCCATCTTACAGCCCCATCTGCACTGTGCATTGAAAGCAACACCATTCCAGGGCTTCCCAAAGTATCGTGGGAACTGTAGTCTCCTAAGAGTGCTGAGGGTAGTTAGGAGACCCCCCTGCTCCCCTCACAGAACTACATTTCCCAGGCGGGTTCAACAATCAATCCCTCTTCCCAGGGAACTCTGGAAATGGTAGGTCTGGGAGGGGAACCGCGGTCTCCTAACAACTCTCAGCATCCTTAGCAAACTACATTTCCCAGGGTTCTTTGGGGGGAGCTGGGACTGTTCAAAGTGGCGTAAGACTGCTTCAAATGTCATTTTAGCCATTTCTGCATAGTCCATTAACTTGGCTAAAATGACCGGAAGAGTCAGAAATTTTAATAAGGAATGGGGGAAATTTATAACTTATCCTAAAGACCATTGTAAACAGTTAAAATCGTTAGTGGGAATGGAATATCACTTGCAGTTTAAGGTTAAATTCTGGACATAATGGAAGAGGTAAAGAGTTTGGATTTGAATAAAAGATGTGGGAGGGATTGATTAATAGCAGGACCCACAAAGGGGAGGATGGAAGTCCAGGAGATTCCTTGAAATCTTGTCTTTATGTTGTACATTGGATATGTGATTGTAAAATTTTAAGCTGAAAAACCAAATAAATAATTTTTTTTTAAAGACTGCTTTAAATGTTTAGGGCAGATAACAACAACAACAGGGCCTTAATTTCCAAGCTCAATGGAGGGATAGGAAAATCTGTCAGTTGAGTGACTATCTGTAAAATGCAGACAGAAAATAAATTCTGTACAACTTAGTGTGGCTGCGCAGCCTCTTCCAATTATGACGACAGACTGTTTTTTGCTTTTTGCTTTAGACCAAGCACTTCGGATTCTTCTCTATTCTCTGATATTTCTGCTCAGTGTTTTGGGCAACACGCTGGTGATCGTGGTGCTGATCCGGAACAAGAGGATGAGAACGGTGACCAACATATTCCTGCTGTCGTTGGCCATCAGCGATCTCATGCTGTGCTTCTTCTGCATGCCCTTCACGCTCATTCCCAACCTCCTGGAAGATTTCATTTTCGGCATTGCTTTCTGCAAACTTACCAGCTACTTCATGGGTGAGTCGATGAACATCCACATTTTGACTACATATGCCAAGTCGTTTTCAAACTCTCTGCTTTCAGAGACCACATCTTCCACACCATTGGGAGGTTGACCACCCTCACAGCTATTCAACAGACTAGAAATACTATATTGTTGCTACATAGGCTGGGATCAGTCCAATTTTAGAGCCATGGATTTCTGGTTCATTTCAGACCTGTTGCCTGCTCCCTATTCCTCACCCACCTATTTATTCTCAATAAAGTTTCACACTTTGACCATTGATGCATGGATGTAGCAAAGGCAGCTGCCCCCCAAATCAATAAAAACCAATAAAAAATACATAGATAACTGAGGTTTTGTCCCCCCAACAAAAGGTTCGCCCCCCTAACAAAAATCCTGACTATGCCCAGTGTGTGCAACTGCCACTGTGGTCTAAACCACGGAGCCTCTTTGGCTTGCCGATCAGAAGGTCGGTGGTTCGAATCCTCGCAATGGAGTGAGCTCCCATTGCTTTGTCCCAGCTCCTGCCAACCTAGCAGTTCGAAAGCACACCAGTGCAAGTAGATAAATAGGGATCACTGCAGCGGGAAGGTAAACGGTGTTTCTGTGCGCTCTGGTTTCCGTCACAGTGTTCTGTTGTACCAGAAGCGGTTTTAATCACACTGGCCACATGACCTGGAAAGCTGTCTGTGGACAAACGCCGGCTCCCTTGGCCTGAAAGCGAGATGAGCGCCGTAACCCCACTTCACCGTCCAGGGGTCCTTTACCTTTACCTTTTTTTTACATATGAGAGATTAGGTTGTGGGGAGGGGCATTGCCTTCATGCTCCCCAGGGGCCACTGTTAGCTGTGATTGTTGCCATCTGCCTGTCCCGAGACACAATGGAGTGAGTCTCTGTGAGTAAAGCCAAACTGCTGGAGAATCACAGCGCCTGCTGTGGCTGCAGAGACCGCTAACTCGTAACTGCTGCCTCCTGTGTTGTTTTTGCTGTGTTAGCAACACCAAAGTAACCTCTGTGGGGTCTAAGCCAGGGCAGTGAGTGTGGAGGTCCTGGGCTGCCCAGGAGACGAGAACCCCGTCTCCACCTATCATATAAAACCATATTTTCATTTACCTCTGCTTCTTCAGCAAAGGTTCTAATTAAATTTTTCTCTTTCGTGACCCATCAGTTCTACTTTGAGCGAGAGGTTCAAGAATGGTCAAGGCACCATTGGTCCAATGGTACTTTGTATGTTTGTTTTTAAGAGCTGGAATTATTACGTACCCAAAATGTCAGTGAAAAGCCATAACAGTGACAGAATATTGGGCTAGAGAAGTTTTTAGCCTTACCCACCAAGACACAATTCTTAGTTTTTTAATCATGCATCCTCTGGACAGTTGGGGGGTGGGGGTGGGGATACCAGTCTCGCTTTGGGCTCCTGGGATGTGGTGCTGTAAGGGCGTTGTTACACTCCTGAGATACATAACACAGCAGTGAAATGGGAATAATAATAATATTTATTTATTTATACCCCAGGGATACAGGTGGCGCTGTGGGTTAAACCACAGAGCCTAGGACTTGCCGATCAGAAGGTCGGTGGTTCGAATCCCCGCCATGGGGTGAGCTCCCGTTGCTCGGTCCCTGCTCTTGCCAACCTAGCAGTTCAAAAGCATGTCAAAGTGCAAGTAGATAAATAGGTACCGCTCCGGCGGGAAGGTAAATGGTGTTTCCGTGTGCTGCTCTGGTTCGCCAGAGGCAGCTTAGTCCTGCTGGCCACATGACCCGGAAGCTGTACGCTGGCTCCCTTGGCCAATAAAGCAAGATGAGCGCCGCAACCCCAGATTCGGCCATGACGGGACCTAATGGTTAGGAGTCCCTTTACCTTACCCCAGCCACTCTGGGCAGGTCCCAACAGAATATGAAAAACACAATAAAACATCAAACATTAGCAACTTCCCTAAACAGGGCTGCCTTCAGATGTCTTCTAAAAGTCAGATAGTTGTCTTTTTCCTTGACATCTGATGGGAGGGCGGGTGCCACTACCAAGAAGGCCCTGTGCCTGGTTTGTGGTACAACTGGCACAAATGTCTAGAGCAGAGGCAGCTTGGTGCAGTGGCTGGAGGGTGCCACTACCAAGAAGGCCCTGTGCCTGGTTTGTGGTACAACTGGCACAAATGTCTAGAGCAGAGGCAGCTTGGTGCAGTGGCTGGAGGGGAAGGGGTGAAAGCAAGTCACTTATTCTCTCTCTCCCTCTAGCCCAACTCTCAGAGTTGTGCCAAGGCTGTGATGGTATTCGTAGCTCCTTGGAGGAAAGGCACAATACAAATGTAACAAATAAACACTGGGTGGGCATGCCATTAGGTGCTTGAGAGACAAATGAGCCTTAAGGGATATAATTTGCTTTGATACCTGCCTACCAACAATCAAGGCTGACTGAAAAGCCTTGCAGATTTGGGAAATTGCTTAGTTAGAAATAGTAGCAACAAGCTGTGTTCAGCCCAAGTAGAACGGATTCTGCAATTTTCTCAATTACTAACCAAAGTCAACAGACTGCTTTGCGGGGGGTTAGACTAGATGCCCTCAGGGTGTCTTCCAACTCTGCAGTTTTATGATTCTATTATTCCAGACTTAAGTCTCAAGCAAACCTAACAAGTGGTTCATTTTCTCCTCCGGTTTTGCCTTAAATGAACAAAATCGACTTTTATATTGCTACGTAACTTATAACTAAATATGCTAAGGATCACAGCTGAGTAAGTAGGGCTATAAACCTAACCCCACTTACTTGGAAGTAAGCCCCATTCAATTCAACAGGATTTACTTCTGAGTAGACAGGGTTAGGATTGTGCTGTCGTCCCTCTTCCTTGGTAGAGAACTATATCCTATGTGTGTAGGAATAATGGATGTAATTCAACTAACTTCTACTCAAGAGTAGACCCATTTCTAGGACTGTTGAAAAGGATTAACTCAATTTTTACTATTATTCATAAACACAAGCATGTAATGAGAAACAGGACATGGGTGTCTTTCTCTAGTAGAATTGCTAATTGTTTTGGTTTTCAGTTGTTAGCATAGGGGGGGAAATTGTCTCAAGCTGCAATATTATATACATTTACCTGAGAGAAAGCCTGATGAACTCAGTGGGATTTATTTCTGAGTAAGAAGGTGAAGGATTGTGAAGTCAAAACAAATTGTTCCTCAGATAAGAGAATCTGTTGTCTTGGGCAACCTACGTCCAAAAAACCTCTGCAAAAAACCCCCACAAAATAAGAACCTATAATAAAAATAAGAGACAAAGTTCATTTTTAAGAAACTGGGAAACACTTTTGATTAGATGATCAATAAAACAGTGAAACATAAAAAAATGGCAGTCAACAAGTTAGAGTTAATTGCCGATATAAAATCTGAGGGATGGAAGCTTGCCCTTTTTCTTGGTAATTACCGCCATAAAGACATTTCAGGGGAATATATCACCACGACATTTACAACAGCATCAATATATAGCCCTTTGTGGATTTATTATGTAAGAGATACCTTAACTTGCTAAAAGCTATAGCCACACATAGTATATTTTTGACTTCAACACTTCGCTTATTACAGATACATTTTATGTCTTAAGATATAGGATGCCTTTTCTCAGATAAGTTTTACATTTGGCACCCAAACCTTTACATTAGTGAAATTGCGGTTTTTTTTAAAAAAAAAATCACAGGTATTGCAACGTTAAAATCAAGAGCCATGCTTTTGCTCGTTTATCAGTGTTGCGGAATAAGTGGGAGATGTTTTTGCACCGACAGGCGGAGACCTCCCGACCCTGGGCGACACCCGCGTGAAATAATGACTCAAGACAATGTGTTATGGCATTAAAATTTGGCCACAACTTTATTAAAACTTCAGATGTAGGGAGACCTTGGCTTAGGCATTGGGCGTTTATCCCTTCCAGTCCCCAGCTGGGGATCTGGGGGACATCAGGGTTATCCAGAATATGTGGGGCATAGCTGTCAACCTTCCCTTTTTTTGTGGGAAATTCCCTTATTCCAGCGCCATTTCCCACTGCTATCCTGGATTGTTAGATATCCCGCAGACTGTCCCTGGGACACGTGAGGCTGCTGATCTCTTATTTTCAAATCTGAAAGTTGACAGCTATGATGTGGGGATTGGCCTGGCTCTGGAGAACGTCTGTTTCTGCTTGAAACCCCCCATTTTGCCACCATCATAGGGGAGAGCAATGACAACCAAAGGGCGTATGGCCAATGCCTCCCCTCAAAACAACCCCTTTAACGGGGAACCCTGGGATCGCCGCCACGGGGGGGGGGCGTGGGTCACCGCTTCATGCCCCCCCCCATTTAGGGAAGATAGACTAAAGGATTCCGCCCAAGGCCTGAAACCACCAAAGTTGTGACGTTTTGCTACGGGAGAGGCAAAACCTGCCAATGCAGGAAAATCCCTTTCCGGCCCTTCAACAGCGACCATAACGTAGCAGCGCCCGCGTACCTATGGAGAAGAGGTTAACCTGCAAAAGAAGGCTTAATTGAGGGAGGGCAGGGTGGGAGAAGCTCTGGAGCTGACTGGAACTCCCAGGTAACCTCCACCCACTGTTGTGTGAGCTGCTCGATCCCTCCCCTTACCTGGCCAGCTCTCTCCTGGCAACACCCCCCTTCAGCTGGGATTGGGTAACAGGCAGAGGTAGGCGGCTACCTCCAGGTAGGGGGGCGTATTCAGGCTGTAGTGGTGGGAGCCGCATTAGATTGGGGGGGTTGTGTGCAACCGCACAAAAGGCGCCCCCATTTGATGTGGGGAACGGTCATTCTTCAAGTCAAAACAGTGGTTTCCAGCTTATGTTCTTGGAAGCTTACCAGGAGAGGAAAATCTATAACAGTAGACCATCTCCCCTAAAAGACTATGCTTAAAATGCATAGCCATAGGAGGCTATTGGGTGTTTTCCCAGGCGCCCTCTCAGTATGTGGAGATACAGTGGTACCTCTGGTTACATACGCTTCAGGTTACAGACTCCACTAACCCAGAAATAGTGATTTGAGTTAAGAACTTTACCTCAGGATGAGAACAGAAATCGCACACCGGCAGCGGGAGGCCCCATTAGCTAAAGTGGTACCTCAGGTTAAGAACAGTTTCAGGTTAAGAACGGACCTCCGGAACGAATTAAGTACTTAACCCAAGGTACCACTGTACAGTCATACCTTGGGTTACAGACGCTTCAGGTTGCGTTTTTTCGGGTTACGGACCGGAACAGGTTACTTCCGGGTTTCGGGGGTCGCACATGCGCAGAAGCGCTAAATCACGCTTTGCGCATGCGCAGAAGTGCCGAATCACAGACGCGCTGCTGCGGGTTGCAAACACTGCAGGTTGCGAACATGCATCCCGCACGGATCACGTTCGCAACCTGAGCATCCACTGTACATTGAGACCCACCTGGCTGTGGGAGCCCCCTAAGTTGCGTGCCAAGGCACCCGAGCCACAAAGTTCCCAGGAGAACAATAAAACACACTGACACAGAGTATTTTGGTTTATGGGTTCAAATAGGCCACAACTTTATTGGTTACAGATGTGAGTGGTTTGGCTTAGGCATTGGGGTGAAGCCAGGCTATATCTTGACTCCTGCCTGTCCGCAGTGAGTCCATGGAAGGATAAACCACCAATAGAGGGTGCCCTATGACTTACAGCAGATAGTGGCACCCTGAGGGGTGCCCATAAGGGCTGTGACATGGCCCTAGCCCATGTCTGGAATTCAAATACAATCCACCCCCCCGGATCCCTTTAACAGGATACCCTTACTGAGGAGGGGAAGGCGAAAGCAACAACCTCCCCTCCAACCAAACAAAGGCTTACCCAATGCCTAACCTCACAAAAGTTGTGACGATTGCTGCTAGGTAGGCGGAAACCAAATGGCCAGTGCCAATTTGCCAAGTGGAGAAATTCCTACCCGGCCCCAACAAAATGGCAGCCGACAATTGCCCATAGCAAGGTCATATCAGAGCAAAGCATGAAAAGAGGCTGGGTGTGTTGGGTGGTCCGACAAAGAGGCAAGAAGAGGGTGCCGGCCTGCCATGCCACGATTAAATTGCCTGCGGCCACACTCACCCTGGCAGCAGGTTGGCTGGGGCTGTACCCAGTACAGGTGAGCAGCCGGTCGTGATGTGGGGGGAGGCAGCGTACCTCCACACCCACTTTGGAAAACTGTTGAGGCTCGGCTGACTGGCCACAATGCCGCCCACCAGATAAAAGATGAGCGGACTTATTTTCCATTGAGCATTGTAGGGCCTTGGACTACATCAGGCAAGGCCAAATTCGGCAGTCCAGCTGTTTTGGGACTACAACTCCCATCATCCCTAGCTAACAGGACCAGTTGTCAGGGATGATGGGAATTGTAGTCCCAAAACAGCTGGACCGCCGAGTTTGGCCATGCCTGGACTAGGTGATCATTGGGATCCTTTCCATCTCTTGAGGTAGAAAGCAAAACAGACACCAGCTACCTAAAAAAGATTACTCTTTATATTATTTATCTGTCCGCAACATCACATCACTTCCCTGGTGGTGCCTATGCAGGTAAAAGTCCAGCATCGCCTGAGCTCTGCAAGTGCAGCTTTCTCTCAGTTGAAGTGCAGAGCGTTTGAGGACCGGGACATTCACAGGGAAACCAAAATGCATGTTTACAAAGCTATTGTACTGCCAATCTTCCTGTATGCTTGTGAAACATGGACCACTTAAAAATGCCATCTCCAGCTCCTCGAAAGATTCCATCAACAGTGTCTCTGATAAATTTGACACATCACTTGGGAAGACAGGCGAACAAATGCCAGTGTACTGGAATAAGCAAAGATCACCAGTGTCGAAGCAATGATTCTTCAACATCAACTTCGTTGGACTGTTCATGTGGTGCGGATGCCTGATGATCGTCTTCCAAAGCAACTACTCTACTCTGAACTTAAAAATGGAAAGTGCAATGCTGGTGGTCAACAGAAGAGGTTTAAAGGCTCTCCCAAGGCAAATTTAAAAAAAATTGTAGTATAAACACCAACAACTGGGAAACACTGGCCTGCGAGGGCTCCAATCGGAGAACAGCCTTTACCAAAGGTGTCGTGGACTTTGAAGATGCTCAAACTCAGGACAAAAGGGAGAAATGTGCTAAGAGGAAGGCACACTTGGCAAACCCTCACCATGATCAACTCCCACCTGGAAACCTATGTCCCCACAGTGAAAGGATGTGTGGATCCAGAATTGGCCTCCACAGTCACTTACGGACTCACTGTTAAGACCGTGTCATGGAAGACAAATCTTACTCGGCTATGAGGGATTACAGAAGAAGAAGAAGAAGAAGAAGAAGAAGAAGAAGAAGAAGAAGAAGAGAGGTGCCTATGCAATGCATGGACCTGTTTCGCAGGAGTAATTTCGCAGAGTGTTTCCCCCGACACTATTTTGCAAACCACTGGGCCTTCTGAAGAAATGCATTGAGTTCAGCATAAGTGACCTTCCTCACTGCAGACCTGGAGCAACAGGGAAGAGTGCAAGGTTGCATCTTTGACCGATAATCTAATTTTCTGCTCTGTTAGATACAGATTGTAGCTGAATTATACAGCCACGCGTCAAGAGTTACAGTTTTAAATCAGGCCAGCTGTCAGAACTATATTGACTCCTTTCCTATAAACGAAATGGAAAAGTTTGTTTCATGTTGAAGGCCATTTCCTGAGTGTTAATGTGCAGCGCGTCAAACGGTTATCCGTTCCGAGAATCAGGAACAAGAAATTATCCTTCCTTAATTAATTAGATACTCATAAAACTACAGGAACGAGTTACTAGTTCCAAATGTATTATTAAAAAGGTGTAAATGGCAAATGCTGTACAGATGGGCCTCTCTGCTATTTGCTACATTGGTTTCAACAAACTGTGTTCTCGGTTTCTGAGCAGCCACCGCAAATTTTACCAGTCTGCCCATAATATATTTCTCCCAACTGGGCTGCAGATAAATAACGGTCCAGCTGTCTGCATTGGCTAGACCCACAGTTTCTCTATATGTTTATTTCTTTAATTCAGCTTATATTATACACTGAAGTACGTCGGTCACACAGTGCTTGAAGGGGGTCGGGGATGCAGTAGGGTTCTGCCCTCCTCCTTTTGAGGCAGATCTATAACCATCCTATAGCTTTTCAGGTAAATAGAACTGAATCTGGCCTAACCATCCATGAGTCAAGATGGCCCGTGAAGGGTTGGCCACTTCTGGATCTGCTTCTTTTGCTTGATCTGGTTCCCCAATCCTACTACCCAATCCTGCATTGGTGGCTTTGATAAAATGAATATTATATTTTTGGCGAAGGGGCATAGCTCAGTGGTAGAGCACTGCAATTGTAGAAAGGTAAAGGACCCCTAGGCGGTGATGTCCAGTCAAAGGCGACTATGGGGTTGCGGTGCTCATCTCACTTTCAGACTGAGGGAACCGGCGTTTGTCCACAGACAGTTTTCCGGGTCATGTGGTCAGCATGACTAAACCGCTTCTGGCGCAACAGGACACCATGATGGAAACTAGAGTGCACGGAAATGCCGTTTACCTTCCTGCCACAGTGGTACCTATTTATCTACTTGCACTGGTGTGCTTTCATATTGGCAGAAGCTGGGACAGAGTGACGGGAGCTCACTCCGTCGAGGGGATTCAAACTGCTGACCTTCCGATCGGCAAGCCCAAGAGGCTCAGTGGTTTAGACCACAGCGCCACAGCGTCTGAGGCAAACAGTACCTGCCATACTCAGGTAAGACTGGGAAGGACTCTTCGCTGAAACCCTGGGTAGGATTTAAAAATAAGGGGTACCTACTAAAAAAACAGAAGCCCTTTTACTTGGTATAGTGGGGGGTGAAATCCCCCAAAAGGATGTTACTTTTTTTCTGTATGCCACAACAGCTGCGAGCACATTGTTAGCGAAGAATTGGAAGAAACAAGATTTACCAACTATTGAAGAATGGCAGATGAAGATGATGGACTATATGGAACTTGCCAAACTGACTGAGAGACTCTGAGACCAGAGAGAAGAGACGGTGGAAGAAGACTGGAAGAAGTTTAAGGAATATTTGAAAAAATATGTTAATATTCAAACCTTGGAATAGCTTTGGAAGTAGATATAGGCTGTAGGCTTAGAAGTAGAAGATAGGGTATTTTAAAATAGTATTATTTGTAAGTGATAAAATGTGCAGTTATTTTAAGTATGATTTAAAAAAAGATGGTTAGAAATTATGATATATGTAAACTGCTAAAGATGAAGTAAGATGAAAATCAGATAGGTGGGACTTGGGGAAGCCCACTTAACAATGTTTAGAAAGGATATGACAAGAATTTGTTTGTATTGTTTGTCTTTTCTGTCTGGGTTTTTTATTTGTGTTATAAAATGATTAAAATAAAAATAAGGGGGACCATCCTAACGGGTGCTCAGGATGTGCTGAGATGGACACCTCTCACCTCAGGTTACTGGAAGGATGCCAATCTCAGTGTTCGCCACACGGAATTTTTTATACACTGGGATTCTGCAGCAGGTATGCCAGATTGCTGTATCAGGCTTCAGATCAGAAGTCTTATGTGTTTATGGCTCCTGACTCAATACCATGCCAACTCTGCTTACTTCAGCATATAGGCAATAAAAACTTCTCTGTTTTCACCTACAGCTGGGTCTTGAGCATTATTTATCCTCTATCTAGAAAGGGGGGGGCGGGGGGTCCACAATTCGCTTGCCGCACAACTTGTTCAGTAACCTGCTCATCAAATGGCAACTTCTCATTGTAAATGGAGCAGTTCCCCAGTTTAGTTTCAGCAAAGTTGACATTTAAAAGTTCTCCGATATGCAGTACCGTCCCATAACTTTTCCGCAGCCGTTGGAAAACTATTAGAGGGCAGCAGAACAGTGTCGTCGGCGTAGAATTGCGTGTTTACTTTGCACAGAAAAAAAATTGTTATATTTGCTTTGTAAGGCCAAACTCATATGGGAAGATAAGTAGCGTTTTGTAATTCTGAAACCGAGTTGTTAAACAGAAAGAAGTGGCCTTCAGTTCCGCATTTAATTATTGGGTCTGTATGGAGTTTTCTAATCAAGGCAAACAGTCATCTATCTGCTTTTGTGCTCTGTAATGTTGGCCACAGTTAATCCTCTGAGGTGGTATTATTTGAAAAGTTTAGAGGAGATGCATTTTGTGAAAGAATGTTCTCTTTTGTCTGATTTCTTTTGTCTGTTTTGAATTTCTCTGGGTGACCTCTGGTATTAAGAGAGATGGTGAAAAGCATCTCTCTATCTGTTTTCTCTGCACCACACATAATTGTTTTAGACCTCTTTTGTAAATAGAAGACGTTGGAATATTCTAGAAGAAACTTGTAAATGGCCTTGAGCAAGTTGCTAGGCAACGGAAAACTTCCCCAGCAACAGGTGTCTTTATCAGGGCATGCGATCAACTAAGTTGGGGTCAGTTTAAATGAGTATGTGAATGAATAAACATTAGGTCTCTGGCCGGTTGGCTAAAAAGAGAAAATGATTATGTTTCTTTGTTGTTTTTCTTTATTAATGACCAGGTGTAAAGTTTTGTTAATAATAAAGACTCTTTATTCCTGTAATGGGAATTTCACTAAGAGATAGCTGGAATGCTGCTGCTGCTGCTGTAAGGAAGTAAAAGATGCAGGAAAAATTTCTGTAAAAAGAACTCTGTTGCAGAAAGAAATGAAAACTCAATTGGCTGGGAAATGCCCCAACACGCTGTTTCAGTATAACTTGTAAATGATTACAGGTAGCAGACGGTAGCAATATTTCAAATAACTGATCAATCAATACTTTTTTATTGTTTTTAAAAATCCTCATATATCTGAAATGCCCCATAATAGGGCAGGTTGGCTTTTATTGATCCAAATGGAACATCATCCACAGAAGCCAGGTCTCTTGGGAACCGCTGAGTCCAGCCATAGAGGCCTGGAGATTGAATGGTTCTGCTGGCTGCTGGCAGATAGGTTATTGCTATGCTGCTGGTTATTACTGGTCTGATTCCCACCGCTTGCCAAAAGAAACAAGAGACAACCATTTACTCTCTCTACTCTCCTTTTCCTCCCCCTTCCTCATGCACTTAGGTGTCTCAGTCAGCGTTTCGACCTTCAGCCTGGTTGCAATATCCCTGGAGAGATATGGTGCTATTTGCAAGCCATTGCAGTCTCGGGTTTGGCAGACAAAATCTCACGCTTTGAAGGTGATCGCTGCAACCTGGGGCCTGTCCTTTGCCATCATGACGCCGTATCCGATTTACAGCACGCTGAAACCGATTGAAAGAATCGACAACAGCACAGCGAACATGTGTCGCCTGCACTGGCCATACCCAGTAGTAGAGCAATCTTGGTAAGAACAGATTTAAATATATATCCATAGATAGATAGATAGATAGATAGATAGATAGATAGATAGGAATATGGCATTTCTTGGGAGATGGTATTAGATGGCATTATTGTTGGTACAATTTAATATGCCAAATTATGGACAGCCAGTCCTTCAGCCTGTCAGCGGGGCAAAATAAGTGCAACGTTGAAGGGTTTGCTGCATCCTATTATAAACATGGTGACTGCATCGGCCAGTTTGCCCGCTGCCTTGTGGGACATCTTCAGGAGAAGAAAAGGCTCAAGATTAAACCCTACACAAATCCAGAGTGGAGTCCCCAAGATAGCATCTTGTACGCCTCCTTCCGGCAACTCCAACAGCCAAGTTGGTGCCAAGTGTATTGCTCTGCTTTCTATATTTCACCAGTGAGGCCTAGTGGGGGGGGGGTCTTGCCATCTGGGCAGCCCACGACCTCCCTATGCACTGCCCAGGCTCGCTCTCCAGAGAGAAGAAGAGTTTGGATTTGATATCCCGCTTTATCACTACCCTAGGGAGTCTCATAGCGGCTAACAATCTCCTTTTCCTTTCCTCCCCCACAACAAACACTCTGTGAGGTGAGTGAGGCTGAGAGACTTCAGAGAAATGTGACTAGCCCAAGGTCACCCAGCAGCTGCATGTGGAGGAGCGGGGAAGCGAACCCGGTTCACCAGATTACGAGTCCACCGCTCTTAACCACTACACCACACTGGAGAGGTCACTTCAGTGCTGCTACTGCAGCAGAAACAACGTGGGAGGCAGCAGTTATGAGCTCCAGTGGTTTGCTTCCCCCCAGAGGCACACTCCATTGTCTTGTGAGACAGGTGGAGGCCAACAACCAACTTCCACTAACCATTGGCCATGTTAAATTAATTCCACTATCTGGGGCATTTTATTATTTCAAATATTTTCAAACCTCCCTCCAATGGATTCCAGGCAGTTTACTATAAACACCATCCAGCCCAGGTCTCAAAAGTTGCACATGTAGGAGAGAACCCATACAGGGGTCAACTGAGCTCTTCTCCCTCCCTGCCTCTTCCCACTGGGCTGGCACATGCACACTGCAACACACTAGCCATTACATCCCTCCCAACTGATCTTCTCTTCCCCAGGACAGCTCTGTGAAGGAGCAGGCCCCCAGAAGCACGTATAGGAGATGTGCACAGACCTTCTGTGGCAGATAAGTGGCTGTGCAAGGGCTGTGGGTGAGGATGGAGGTAGATGGTAAATTGCATGGCGGTCCCCTTCCACATCACCTCTTAAAGGAGTTAATTGGGGGTGTGGATCTCATGCCCATAGTTGTTTTGCACCTATTAACGGGGGCGCCGCCTCAAGTTCCCATGGAGCGATGCAAAATTCAGAGCACGTTTCAAAGGCCAGGAGGGGGCAGGAGTTTCATCACACAGCCTCTCCAAACCATGTCCTGGTTATGAGACACAGTGCTGAAAAACAAGCCTGTCATGTGTAATTGCTGCTACAGCCCTTCTCTGTTCACTTCGGGATTTGCAGAATTCAGACAATCAGAGTGATAATAAATTCCACAGAGGCAGCTGTGCTCATTTGTTTCAGGAAAGACAGAGAATAGTGACAACTCAAAGGCAAACCAATTCATTGTGGCTTGAGAACATTCTCTCCCCCCCCCCCCATGAATTTTTGATTAGAGTATCTGTTTTACATTTTTTATTAGATTTTCTGTTTTACATTAATTCAAACAACCTTAAAATATCAATGACTTCCCTTCTTCTCTGTCCATGGTTCATTTTGCAAAACATAAATCCCTGCATATAAACTAAACCATTCAGTATTCCATCATTACATCCATCAAAACTTATTCACACTGTTGAATTTATCTTCATGCTGCCCACGTTTTCATATAAACACAATTTTCCTCCATATATTCAATAAACATTTTCCAATCTTCTTTAAACACATGTTCTTCTTGTTCTCTTACTCTATATGTTAAGTCTGCGAGTTGTGCATATTCTGTTGACTTGAGTTGCCGTTCATCTTTGGTTGGGACCTCGTTCGTTTTCCATTTTTGGGCTAACAAAACCCGGGCCGCAGGAGTAGCATACATAAATAACCTTTTTTGACACCTGGGAATTTCATCTGAATTATCCCCAACAAAAAAGACTCTGGGTTTAAAAGTACTTTTAACCCCCCCCAAATCATTATGGATTATTTTCCAATACCCTGTTACAGGTCCACCACATATGAAAGAACGTCCCCTCAGTCTCACTGCATCTCTAACACTTATCTGATTCAGTATTATATATCTTAGCAAGTCTACTTGGAGTCAGATACAATCTGTAAATCATTTTCAGGTAGTTCTCCTTCAAGGAATAACATTGTGGCTTGAGCATTCAAGGAGTGGAGCACGTATTTTTTCAACTCACTTAAAAGGTGGAATATAAGCAGAAAGGGGCTGTGGACTGTACTTCTACACCCTTTATCCCTTACCCCAAACATCCATGAAGTTGCAGAGATGTCTCATGTAGCGAAGCCTACGTATGTCAACCCCTATGTACCTGGACTTCCAAGGATCATGGAACCTTGGAGTGGGATCCAGGACTCATTTGAGTAGGCATGGCTTCCTTAAATGTTGTCACACCTTGTCTGAAGCCAGGCACTGCAGCCGTTTCTACCCAAATTGCCAAGCATGAATGGAGATTATGCCTACACCTATTTTCGAACATAAGGGACGCGGGTGGTGCTGTGGGTTAAACCACAGAGCCTAGGACTTGCTGATTAGATCAGAAGGTCAGCGGTTCGAATCCCTGCTACGGGGTGAGCTCCCATTGCTCGGTCCCTGCTCCTGCCAACCTAGCAGTTCGAAAGCACGTCAAAGTGCAAGTAGATAAATAGGTACCACTCCAGTGGGAAGGTAAACGGCGTTTCCGTGCACTGCTCTGGTTCACCAGAAGTGGCTTAGTCATGCTGGCCACATGACCCGGAAGCTGTACGCCGGCTCCCTCGGCCAATAAAGTGAGATGAGCGCCGCAACCCCAGAGTCAGTCACCACTGGACCTAATGGTCAGGGGTCCCTTTACCTTTTTATTTTCAAACACAAAGTAGTACTCAGGGCATCTGACATATTACATTTTCAGTGACACATCCAAGATGCAAACTGTCTACGGGGGAGAGGGAGCGAATGTAGGACCATTCTACTTTTTTTTACAAAACTATCACTTGTCTCCGGCGTCACTGAGTTTGGGGAAGTTTTTAATGTTTGATGTTTTATCGTATTTTAATAGTCTGTTGGGAGCCGCCCAGAGTGGCTGGGGAAACCCAGCCAGTTGGGCGGGGTATAAGTAAAAAATTATTATTATATTTGTTATGTACTGAAGTTCTCACCCTGGGCCAGCAGGGGGATACTGTAGATAGTTTAGGTCCACATATGCAAATAAGGGATCGAAAGTGACATTCATTGATTGGATAGTTACAGAAAGTTGTTACAGTTACGTTGTACTGGAGCTCTATATAAGCAGGCTGGCTGAACCCTTCAGTTCAGTTCTGTTCTGGCCTGTGAATAAACAAGAGCTGTTTGAAGAATCACTGTGTCGTCTGATATGTTCACCCACAACTTAGCAATATTATTAGGAATTACTGATCTGCAAAGTGAGCTGAGCAACTAAAAGGGGTGGAAACCCCCCGTAAACCTTGTTTCAGAACAAATACTGTGGGATATCTTTTGTGAACTCTGACAAGTCATACTACTAACATTACATCCTTTTCAACTGTGAGCTACAATAATTACACTCGGCTTTAAAACAAGAGGAGGCAGTGCACCCAGGATCAGCTTTAGCCCGTTCCAGAGATGAGAAAGAAGATGCTAAGAATATTTTAACTTTTTCTCTGCTGGTCTAAGCCTCTCTTCCTGTTTCTGCAGGTACATCTTCCAGCTCCTCATCCTTTTCCTTATCCCAGGGATCATAATGATCATTGCGTATGGCTTAATCTCCTTGGAGCTCTACCAAGGGATCAAATTTGATGTCAGTCAGAGGAAGTATTCACGAGGTAATCTTCATGACCAGTCCCATTCTCCTTCTTTCACTCAGATGTGAAAATGTGATGAGCAGACATTTTTTTCCTGGTAAAAATAATCTGCAACAGAGCAGTCTTGCAAATGTCTCCAGGATTTTTTTTAAAGCATTAATTATTCCGTCTGTGTGTGTGTGGATGTGTGCATTTGTGTATGTGTGCAATTGCGTTCTCTCCCCTCTGGTATTTTCATTCACTTTTAACAAGAATAGATACAACGGTACAGTGGTACCTCGGGTTAAGAACTTAATTCGTTCTGGAGGTCCGTTCTTAACCTGAAACTGTTCTTAACCTGAAGCACCACTTTAGCTAATGGGGCCTCCCGCTGCTACCGCGCCACCGGAGCACGATTTCTGTTCTTATCCTGAAGCAAAGTTCTTAACCCAAGGTACTATTTCTGGGTTAGTGGAATCTGTAACCTGAAGCGTATGTAACCCGAGGTACCACTGTATTCCAAGACAAGCAATATAGAACTAACCATAAAAAAGTTACATAGAAAACTGCCTTGTACCAAGTTACCCCTTGCTCCATCTAGCCTAGTATTGTTTGTCTAATAATTTTTATTAGTTTTCAATTACAATAACCCAATAAAAGCCTCATTGTCACAATTCCAAATTATAATACAATTAATAACACTAATTGTTCAGATGCCAAATTATATTATTTTGTCCCCCCCCTTGCGTGCTAGAATTGATGATTTGATAATTTAGTTTAACTCTGCATTTTGAAAGCCTGATATTGTTGACATTGATTGACAGCAGCTTTCCATACTTCAGGCAGGGATCTCTCGGCAAGAACCCTTTCCTGCCTCTTTACAATAAATCTACAATCTATTTACAAATAGTATTCCCATCTGGAAAACCAGAAGCAACAATTATAAGTAATTGTTGTAAGGTATTATGTTTCAAAACATCCTAATAACAGAGACCAGAGTTATCCTAGTTTACCTCAGGAATAATGAGGATGCCCCTGGGGGGGGGGGGCACTTACAGTAAAGGAGGTGCCTAAACTCTCCCATGCCCTCCTGTCCTCTTCAGCGTATTTCCCCCTCAGCCAAGTCTCCTTCCAGTTTTAGGATCCCTCTAGTTCAGGCATAGGCAAACTCGGTCCTCCAGATGTTTTGGGACTACAACTCCCATCATCCCTAGCTAACAGGACCAGTGGTCAGGGATGATGGGAGTTGTAGTCCCAAAATATCTGGAGGGCCAAGTTTGCCTATGCCTGTGATAGCTGGATTGGGCGGTGGGAGAAGTCACTTAGAAACGTCTGCAGAGCTCATAGAGGGGGGGAAATCAGCAGGTGGGGAAGGGTTAAGAAATTCTGCCTGTCTACAGATTTCCCCACCTTTAGAATCAATAGCACCCAGGCGTTAATGTAATAAATAAGAGAAATACACACACATGGGCGTAGCCGGGGGGGCCAGAAGGGGACAGTTGCCCCCCCAGTCAATAAAAATCAATAAAAATAAGCAAAAATATGTAACTAGCTGAGGTTCTGCCCTGCACTGATATAAAGCCTGCCCCCTAACATCAATCCTGGCTACAACCATGGAAATACAGGGCTGACACCTGTATTTATTATTACAATGGTACCTCGGGTTACATACGCTTCAGGTTACATACACTTCAGGTTACACACTTCGCTATCCCAGACATAGTGCTTCAGGTTAAGAACTTTGCTTCAGGATAAGAACAGAAATCGTGCTCCGGCGGCGCAGCAGCAGCAGGAGGCCCCATTAGCTAAAGTGGTGCTTCAAGTTAAGAACAGTTTCAGGTTAAAAGCAGACCTCCGGAACGAATTAAGTTCTTAACCCGAGGTACCACTGTATTATGTTGTTGTTGTTCTTCATAGCATCTGGTCCCACCCAAAGAGATTGAGATCACTCAGTTGACTCTGTGTATCTCCAAGAGATTGACATTTCCAGTTTCGAAAACTAAAATGATTATTTGCCACTGCTTCTACTAAAAAATAAAAATAAAAAGTGCCGTGTTGGGACTCAGTTCCACTCTAATCAGACATTAACAATCAATAGCAAGGATTAAATAGAAAGAGCACCCCCTGGCTACAATCACAAATCTGACGGGTTTTTTGGTTGGGGGTTACAGAGCTATTCGATAACTTGTGATATCAAAGCTTCACAAGAACCACATCTCTCCAGCTTCAGATGAAATTGTCTCCTGACTAACTAATCTCACCAGAATCCCAGAGGCTCTGGAAAAAAAGATTTTCAATTGAGCAGAGGGGAAAGTGCCTTGTTTTTAACGTAGCCTATTACAAAACAGGCCTTTTGAAGAAAGAAATATTTACTAGTAAGCTAAATGAGTCTGGGTAGCTCAAAATTGCACTGACATCGGGTCCAACGGTGCCAGCTGGTCAATGGGCCTAGCAGTGTTCTATAATCATTGAGCGTGTTTTTTCCGAGGCTAGATGGTGTTATTATGCAATTAATCCTGATGGAAATGGAGGCCTCTGTTAGCAGAACATTTTGTACAAAAGAAGTCACTTTCAGCGAATGATCAACTGCTATTATGCCATTAATTGCACCAAAATAGCACGAGACTACCAGGCAATACCCTGAGATCAAAATAAATATGTGTCCGGGCACCCATAATTCCTGAAATTAGCAAAAGTTAGAATTAATAAAGGTTATAGGCTAAAATTGGGCCAAACATTGCTGGATTGAGTTTAGGATAACAAGCTTTGCCAGCTTGACATGGCTTGCTAGGGAGAAAGCATTAGCGGACAAAGGCTTGAAACGGCCAGTCGTTAGCCCAACAGTGGGAGCCATGGCAAGACAGAAGACTCCGCAGAACAGAGAGGGTGAAGTTGCCAGGGTTACAGTGGGCAATGTTAGCAGGAAAGGGGAGTTGTGTTTGGCAAGGATTTAGGGGGAGAAGGAGAAGGAGAAGGAGAAGAGGCTGTACCCAGAGACCAGGGAGCTGTTGCTCCAGACCCAAGCTTGCTGAAGAGAAACGACAAGAGACAGTCTTGAGGTGTTACGCATGCCCTCCACAGAAAGATTTAGGTTGTAAATATGTGCAAATAAATCATATTTCATGGAGACACCATTAGCCTCCGTTGTGCCTTAATTTTCTGAAGGAAACACAAGACCCCCGGAAACTCATGCACCGCTCGGGCAGAGATTGAGGCGACCTGTAACAATATTGTATGTACTTTGAAGACTTTTCAGCTCACTTTGTCTGACTGATTGATTGATTGATTGATGGATGGATTGATTATTTGTTTTGAATATTTCTACCCTAGCAACTAACTAATTAAACATTAAGCTATTGAGGCAGGGATGCGGGTGGTGTTGTGGGTTAAACCACAGAGCCTAGGACTTGCCGATCAGAAGGTTGGTGGCTCAAATCCCTGCGACGGGGTGAGCTCCCGTTGCTCGGTCCCTGCTCCTGCCCACCTAGCAGTTCGAAAGCACGTCAAAGTGCAAGTAGATAAATAGGTACCGCTCTGGCGGGGAGGTAAATGGCATTTTCGTGTGCTGCTCTGGTTCACCAGAAGCGGCTTAGTCATGCTGGCCATATGACCCGGAAGCTGTACGCCGACTCCCTCGGCCAATAAAGTGAGATGAGCGCCGCAACTCTAGAGTTGGTCATGACTGGACCTAATGGTCAGGGGACCCTTTACCTAATAATAATAATAATAATAATAATAATTTTATACCCCGCCCATCTGGCTGGGTTTCCCAGCCACTCTGGGTGGCTTACAGTGCATTGAAAATTGTAAAACATTGGACATTAAAAATTTTCTGATACGAGGTTGACTTTAGAAGACAAGTGTCTTCTAAAAGTTGGATAGATGTTTATTTCCTTGACATCTGATAGGAGAAGAAGAAGAAGAGTTTGGATTTGATATCCCGCTTTATCACTACCCTAGGGAGTCTCAAAGCGGCTAACATTCTCCTTTCCCTTCCTCCCCCACAACAAACACTCTGTGAGGTGAGTGGGGCTGAGAGACTTCAGAGAAGTGTGACTAGCCCAAGGTCACGGGCATTCCACAGGGCGTGCACCACTACCAAGAAGGCCCTCTGCCTGGTTCCCTGTAACCTCACTTCATGCAGTGAGGGAACTGCCAGAAGGCCCTCAGAGCTGGACCTCAGTGTCCAGGCTGAACAATGGGGGTGGAGGTGCTCCTTCAGGTTGTTTAAAATATGATCAATAGTAATAATTACCAGGAAGGAGAAAAGGTATACAGTGGTACCTCGGGTTACATACGCTTCAGGTTACAGACTCCGCTAACCCAGAAATAATGCTTCAGGTTAAGAACTTTGCTTCAGGATGAGAACAGAAATCGTGCTCTGGCGGTGCGGCAGCAGCAGGAGGCCCCATTAGCTAAAGTTGTGCTTCAGGTTAAGAACAGTTTCAGGTTAAGTACGGACCTCCGGAACGAATTAAGTACTTAACTCGAGGTACCACTGTACAGGTGGCGACCATTATATGTGGGGGCTCTGTTCCTGGCCCCAACAAAGTGTGCATAAGCCTGTTACACCCTGCCGTCATTCTGCCCCCTCTTCCACCCCCCATTTTGCCCTCTTCTGGGTCCAAAAGGACCCACGTTTCAATGGTCACATGTCAATTGGACGTGTGCAAAATGGTTGCCACCTGTATATTAAGTTCCCGTGCACCACACACACCCTGTCCTCAGATGTTCCAACTGCCACACTGTTTCTGAATCACCCTGAGTCCCTGTCAGGGGAAAAAGTGGGGTATAAATAAATATAGCACCATCCATATAGCACTGGTCCATATCAAGTCACAGAGGAAATTACCTCAGTCCAGATATGGCTCAGACAGTACACCAGAAGGCGGGGGCCTGTCATATGAAGGTGGGCAATTTTCACTCTTACACAACCCTTTCTGGAGGCAAAGACTGAAGCATGCCTCTAATTTCAGTGGCCCAAAGTGTGTGCCTTGGCTTTCAGAAGTTGAAAAACATCCCCCCTACACTCACACACACCTGATCTCACACACTGGCCTTCAAAAGATATTTAATTGCACATTTTTTATGTGTATCTTTTGCCAGCCGTGCGGCGGGTTTTGTGCCCTCGCATGTTGTGTGCTCTTGATAACGTGATCGCATTTGCTCGTCCCGTACAGAAAGGAAAACCAGCACCAGCAGCAAATTTGAAGATAGCGATGGGTGCTATCTGCAGAAAAGCAAGAAGAAGAAAAAGATGCCCCTTCAACAGTTTCCGTCCAATAGGAGCATCTCCAAAATTGACCGGCCTCGAAGCAATTGCTCCACCGCTAACTTGATGGCCAAGAAGCTGGTCATCCGAATGCTGATAGTGATAGTGATCTTGTTTTTCGTTTGCTGGACGCCGGTGTTCAGCGTCAACACTTGGCGTGCGTTCGACAAGACGTCGGCGCAACTGCTTCTCACGGGAGCCCCCATCTCCTTCATACACTTGCTCTCTTACACCTCCGCTTGTGTGAATCCCATTATCTACTGCTTCATGAACAAACGCTTCCGCATGGGTTTTCTGGCGACGTTTACCTGCTGCGCCAAGCAAAAGCTTCCAGTGGCCAGAGCAGAGATGGCAGAGGAGGAGGAAGGCAGAACCACAGGAGCAACGCTTTCCAGGTATTCTTACACCCACATGAATGCATCTGCTCCTCCCTGAACATGCCCAAGGCGGGGAATCGGTTATTTTATCTCCTTCTGTGGTCTTGACTTGTGTTTAAACCATCTGCCATGCCTTTGTACGAACATGCTTCAGTAAAGTGTAGGAGAAAAATAATTTGCGAAAGGTCTCCCATCAGTCGGCAACACTTTTCGGCTTTGGGTCTCAAAAATAGATAGAAGTTACCTCAGGTAGAAAAGGTCAGTGACGATAGGCCATGGGGCACATTGGAGAGGCTGAGAAACTGTCATGAGCACCGCCATAAAACAACTCTCAGGCCAAAAAGAATGGCTGTCAGTGGGGACCTGCCTTGTCAGAAATGATTGATAAAATTACCAAGAAACAGAAGACAAGACAGAAGATGGGTTTGAGGCCAAACACTAAACCACCTATTTGCCCCCACCAAGAACAAGAAGAGATTTCATTTCAGAGATGGAAAATGGGTGCTGTGCGGCGAAACGTCCACCCACAAAAGGAAAAAAATAAAGGGTGGCAAATGTCACCCATCCCCAAAAGCAACAGACTTTGCCAATAGGCTTTGACATCACATTTTTAGTCCAGGCACTTCCACAAAGAATCACCGTTATTTTATATGTGACAATTTCACACAATAGCTAGAGGTACGCATCAGATCTGGAAGAATCCCAAACCAACTAAATGAAGCCTTGATCTGATCTAGCAGAGTGCTTATTATGTTCCTAATTAGTGGGAATAACCATAAAACAAAGCAATCAGCAATCACTTGATCTGTCAATGTTTTGAACTGCAGCTATTAGACGGTTGCCCTGACCTCAAGATTTGGTTCAGACGCCAATCCATTACTTCAGAAAACAACTTGATTTGGACTGAATCCCAATTTAGAAAAATAAAGCTATGGTCATTCCCTGTTTAGATTATAGGGAAATGGGGGGGGAGGGTTGCTAGCCATTTTTTCTTTTGATAGAAATGGATAGAATAGAATAGAATAGAATAGAATAGAATAGAATAGAATAGAATTTATTATTTGTACTCCACCCATCTGGCTGGGTTTCCCCAGCCACTCTGGGCAGCTTCCAACAAAGCATTAAAATACAGTAGTCTGCCTTCAGATGTCTTCTAAAAATCTGGTAGTTGTTCTTCTTTTTGACATCTGGTGGGAGGGCATTCCACAGGGCAGGTGCCACTACTGAGAAGGCCCACTGCCTGGTTCCCTGTAACTTGGCTTCTCGCAGTGAGGGAACCGCCAGAAGGCCGTTGGCGCTAGACCTCAGTGTCCGGGCAGAACAATGGGGGTAGAGATGCTCCTTCAGATATACTGGATTAAATCTGCAGGCAAAGTAGCAACTCCTGGGTGAATCAACCCTGCCAAATTACTAGGTCCAGGTTTTTTTGTACTAGGCCCCTTCAATCTGAATTGGGGAGAGGACCAAAGCAGAGTTAAGGTTTTGTGGGGAATTGTTTCAATATGAAAATGGCATACACTGTAAAGGTACTCTGACCTGCATCATTCCAGAGTGTTGTAGCTAGGCTAATCCAACAATGAGCACTTTGATCCAGCCAAGTCTCTACTTGCCTCACACCTGATGTCAGGTGTGGCATCAGATGTGAGGCAGGTGCATGGATTGGGGTGAGTAATGGCCTGGTGGGCCAAATAGATGGGCCAGAAGTTCCCTACCCCAGGAGAGAGAGAGTTATGATGAATGGGGGGCGGGCGGCTGGAGATTTCTGCCCAATTAGCACCAAAGGTCGCAAATCACATAAGCTAAGTGCAAAGCTCATTGGCACAGAGGGAGAAGGACTTAAATGTCCAGCATTTTTTCCAAGCAATTACCACTAGCAGATCTAGCAAGGAGCAGAGGACAGCTAAGAACAAGGCATTATGTTCCTGCAACATTGCTTTCCCAAAATATTGTGATTGGAGAACCCTGGTAAAAAAAAACCCTGATTTTTAAGATCTTCCAAGGATACCCTGTTGGTCCTTCCACAACCAGAGGATTGTCACCAGAGGTGGGTGGAGGCCTTTTTGGCGATAGCAGCCATGCCATTCCTCAGGTGATTTGTGAGGCAGAGAGAGAAATAATCTTCAAACACCTCTTTAAATCATGTATATGCTTACCTTTCCTGGACTCCAAATCTTCATGTTTTTTGCTTTGTGCATTGCTCAGTTTTACTTGTGATGATACAGTTGTGTTTTGTTTTTATCTAATTTTAATCTAGTTTTTAGGGCAAAATGATTGAACGTTGTGTTTTCACTGTTCTTATGTAGACTGCTTAGAGATTTTTGTTATATTAAATGGTATACTAATGTTATGAATAAATAAAGTAAAATATAAAAATGGTACTAAGAACTAACTCACTGTTTAGATAGGTCATTTCCTGAGAGCCAGTGTGGTGTAGTGGTTAAGAGCGGTAGTCTCCTAATCTGGGGAACCGGGTTCGCGTCTCCGCTCCTCCACATGCAGCTGCTGGGTGACCTTGGGCCAGTCACACTTCTTTGAAGTCTCTCAGCCCCACTCACCTCACAGAGTGTTTGTTGTGGGGAGGAAGGGAAAGGAGAATGTTAGCCGCTTTGAGACTCCTTAAAGGGAGTGAAAGGCGGGATATCAAATCCAAACTCTTCTTCTTAAAAAAAAAAAAAAAAAAAAAAAAAAAAGATAGGTCATTTCCTGGTCACACTGATAATCTTTTTTTCTTTTTTCTTTAAATATCCCTGGGATGCAACTGTGGGCTGCCCATAATAATCAGTAGAGAAATCCAAGGTATGGTAGCTGGAATTAGCCATCAGTGATACTCCAATCCTTGTTTGATTCAAAAAATAGCAGCAAAGAGGACAGCTCCATGCTGTTTCCTACTTTGTTCTTAAATAAACATCCTGCTAATTAAAGTTCCAAAGCAAAATTAAGTTCATTGCTCCTGAAAGGAGCTGTGGCTGGAACAGCAGAAGCCTTCTTCTTCAGCAATAACTCATAGCCGAGTAAGATTGTCTACCATGAACACGATCTTATCAGTGAGTCCATAAGTGATTGTGGAGGCCAATTCTGGATCTGCATGTCCTTCCACAGTGGGGACATGGGCTTCTGGGCGGGAGTTGATCACGGTGAGGGTTTGCCAAGCGTGCTTTCCTCTTAGAGCGTTTCTCCCTTTTGTCCTGAGTTCGAGTGTCTTCAAAGGCCATGACACCTTTGGTAAAGGCTGTTCTCAGATTGGAGCCCTTGCAGGCCAGTGTTTTCCAGTTGTCGGTGTTCATACTACATTTTTTTAGATTTGCTTTGAGTGAGTCTTTGAACCTCTTTTGTTGACCACCAGCATTACACTTTCCATTTTTAAGTTCGGAATAGAGTAGTTGCTTTGGAAGTCGATCATCAGGCATCCGCACCACATGACCAGTCCAACAAAGTTGATGTTGAAGAATCATTGCTTCAACACAGGTGATCTTTGCTTTGTTCAGTACACTGGCATTAATTCTTTCCAAGTTTCTTTCCAAGTGATGTGTAAAAATTTTCAGAGATACTGTTGATGGAATCTTTCTAGGAGTTGGAGATGGTGTTTATAGGTGGTCCATGTTTCACAAGCATACAGTAAGGTTGGTAGTACAATAGCTTTGTAAAGAAGCATTTTTGGTTTCTCTGTGAATGTCCCGGTCCTCAAACACTCTGCACTTCAACTGGGAGAAAGCCGCATTCACAGAGCTCAGGAGATGCTGGATTTTGGCATCAATGTTGGCCCTTGTGGGAAGATAACTGTCCATGTAGGAGTGTAGTTCATTCTGTATACTGCCAATTAGGCTCCGAGTGATTTCGTCTTGCAGGTAAGGCGTTGGGCTGAAATGGACAGAGTAGCTTACACTCAGGGCTTTTTTCAGTCAGAACTCACCGGAACTCAGGTATCTTTGATGCTGACATTCATTTCTTCAACCCCCGCAAGCCATAGGATCAGGTAACACACACCCCAAGTATACATACCAATGCTTTGTGGTCTGAGGAATCAGAACTGTGCAAGCAAATGTATGCAAGTGTAGAGGTGATGTAGATAATAGAATCGCAGAGTTGGAAGGGACCCAAGGGGCATCTAGTCCAACCCCTTGCAATGCAGAAATCTTTCACCCAATGTAGTGCTCGAACTCACAACCCTGGGATTCAGTCTCTCATGCTCTGCATACTGAGCTGTCCAGCTTTTGATTTATGCTCAACAAGGAATTTAACAAGGAATTTAACAGCCAGTGTGGTGTAGTGGTTAAGAGCAGTGGACTCGTAATCTGGTGAACCGGGTTCGCGTCCCCGCTCCTCCACATGCAGCTGTTGGGTGACCTTGGGCCTCTCACACTTCTCTGAAGTCTCTCAGCCCCACTCACCTCACAGAGTGTTTGTTGTGGGGGAGGAAGGGAAAAGGAGATTGTTAGCCGCTTTGAGACTCCTTAAAGGGAGTGAAAGGCGGGGTATCAAGTCCAAACTCTTCTTCCTCTTCTTCTTTATTATGCCCTCCCCCGACCCAACCAAGGTTAAATGGATTTTATTTAAAATTATTTTTGGATTGGACTAGGAGTATGATGGAGCAATGCAGAGCAAGAAGAATGAACGGCTGCCGAATAAAAAGTAAACAGCAGAAGGAATGGAATGTGACCTTGTCCCATCCAGATAAACACTGCAAAGAACTGAACAATGGAAGACAGTAATTAATTCTCCCAACACACCAGGTCTGAAACAACAATGCTTATAATAAATAATAATAATAAAATTTTATTTATATCCTGCCCTCCCCAGCCAAAGCCGGCCTCAGAGTGGCTAACAACAATAAAAGTAACACAACATTCTAAAATTAATGGCAACCATTGGGCTAGAGTTCTATGAGGATCACCAAAGGAGGGAGTCAGACTGTGCCTCAGCCAAAGGCCTGGTGGAACAGCTCTGACTTGCAGGCCCTGCGGAAAGATGTCAAGTCCTGCAGGGCCCTGGTCTCTTGTGACAGAGTGTTTCACCAGATCGGAGCCACAGCCGAAAAAGCCCTGGCTCTGGTTGAGGCCAGGCTAACCTCCCTGTGGCCCGGGACCTCCAAGATGTTTTTGTTTGCAGACCGTAAGGTCCTCTGTGGGACATAACAGGAGAGGCGGTCCCGTAGGTATGAGGGTCCTAGGCCCTATAGGGTTTTAAAGGTTAAAACCAGCCCCTTAAACCTGATCCTGTACTCCACTGGGAGCCAGTGCAGCTGGTATAGCACCGGGTGAATGTGATCTAGCGGAGAGAACCCCATAAGGAGTATTGCTGTGGCATTCTGCACCCGCTGGAGTTTCTGGGTCAGTCTCAAGTGAAGGACTACACATGTGTAATGGATTTTATACTTATAAGATGTAACAGAGGCCCTACTTGTAAGGAGGCTCTGTTTGCAAGAATGATGTAACAAAGATTGACAGATGACAACTGAACACTACATAAGAAATGATGCAACTATGGGAGGAAATGATCAACACATGTTTGCAACAGGAGCAGGAAACCTGATTTTAAGAAATTGTATTAAATTAAAGTAATTTGGTTGGATTTGTAATCATTTGGAAAATTAATAAAAATAATTGGAGAGAGTCTCATGCTCTAACGACTAAGCTATGATGTACAAGGACCGATTCCTTATTAAGACTGGCTAACAGGGTTCTTATCACCGAGGTTAGGAAGGGCAATCATGCAAACTTGGGACAACAGGAAGGTAAGTCTGCCAATCCCTTCCATAAAGGAAATATTCAGGATAGAATAATTCCATCCAGGCATGCCAATCCTGTGTGCCTCTGCACATTTGTGTGATACTTGATTTCCTATAGATTTGTCCATTACTTTCAGGGTGATTTCTGTCCAGCATAACTTCCTGGATACCACATGTAGCCCGGGCTTCATTTAGATGCAAAGGTACACTTGAAATTGTTTCATGGTAGGATTGCCATATGTCCTCTTTTTCCAGGACACGTCCTCTTTTTCATGGGTCGTCACAGCGATACATAGTTAAAAGGAGATGTCAGCAAATGTGTCCTCTTTCTCGTTCTTCAAAATATGGCAACCCTAATTTATGGGCAATGTCTGCTGAGATCTTAGCGGTGGGGGAGGTAGTAGGAAATTGGATGAATAAGAGCTTTAAAGTAACTGAAGGGTTCTGGTGCCCTGTTGAGTTCCTTGCCAGCAGCCCAGCAGAAATCCCAGGTACAGCACTCAAAATGAAAGATCATGCAAAAATGCAATATGCCAGTGTCCTCAATTTATATATATAACCCCCAAAATTCAGCATTTTGGTACAAAGTTGACTACATTTAGAATTTATTTTTTAAAAATAGTTTGGAGTACACAGAACTTCAACTACATGAAAAGGCAAAAGGCAATAGAAGTCGTAAGCCATTTCTATGAGAGGTTTGGAATGCCCTGAATATACATACAGGCTATAAAAATGTTTCCTCTTCTATTTTACTGCGTAGATGATTGATGTTTGTATATCTGTGTAAGTAATTTTACAGCCGAATCATGTAACTTCTCTTTGTGTTTTCCTAAGTGCTTATTTTAATCTGTCTTGATTATACTGTTTGGATGTGCTGGTTAGCTACAGGCCAAATTCTTCACTCTCCAGAACAAGAGACAAAAACGGGCATTACACGATTTATACTCAGTGTACGTATTTTCTTTTGTGAAAGCTCGTTCTGAACATCCACATAGAAAGCTATGTAATTTTAACATGCTGGCTTTCACACTAGTATGACTACAAATGCATCTGTTTAAAAAAGAAGTGTTGGTAAGATGCTTAAGAATTTTTCAATATGTCTGCAAAGCGTTGCCTAAATGCAGTGCCTGGAGGCGTTTGGAGGATGGATGGCAGCTAATGGATTGAGGCTGGATCCGGACAAGACAGAAGTACTGTTTCTGGAGGACAGTGAGTGGGCAAGTGAGGGAGACTCCCTGGTCCTGAATGGGGCAACTGTGCCCCTGAAAAACCAGGTGCACAGCCTGGGAGTCATTTTGGACTCACAGTTGTCCATGGAGACGCAGGTCAATTCTGTGTCCAGGGCAACTGTCTACCAGCTCCATCTGGTACGCAGGCTGAGACCCTACCTGCCCGCGGACTGTCTCTCCAGAGTGGTGCATGCTCTGATTATCTCCCGCTTGGACTACTGCAATGTGTGGGGCTACGTGGGGCTACCTTTGAAGGTGAAACTACAACTAATCCAGAATGCGGCAGCTAGACTGGTGACTGGGAGTGGCCGCCAAGACCATATCACACCGGTCCTGAAAGACCTACATTGGCTCCCAGTACGTTTCCAAGCACAATTCAAAGTGTTGGTGCTGACCTTTAAAGCCCTAAACGGCCTCGGTCCAGTATACCTGAAGGAGCATCTCCACCCCCATCGTTCAGCCCGGACACTGAGGTCCAGCTCCAAGGGCCTTCTGGCGGTTCCCGCACTGCAAGAAGTGAGGTTACAGGGAATCAGGCAGAGGGCCTTCTTGGTAGTGGTGTCCACCGTATGGAACGCCCTCCCATCAGATGTCAAGAAATAAACAACCACCTGACTTATTATTATTATTATTATTATTCATTTGTACCTTGGAACCCCACATGACAGGGGTCTCAAATGCCTAGAGTACACCTATGCAATGTACGTGTGTATAGTTCTTCCTGCTTAGTGTAGCAATGGAGGGAAAATTTGGAAACCTTTCATATTCACATGCCATGATTTGTTGCTACCTGACACACACTGCTTTTGAAGCCATCTACATTTGCTTCAATGCCGAGAGAGCATTTCATTCCATAATGTGCAAACACAGCAACGAACACAATGTAGGAGAACATTTTAAAATATCCAGCTTTGCACTGCATTGTAAAAGGGTTATTTTGACTATTCAGCTCAGCATAATGAAGGGTTTCTTTCTGTCTTTTGCCCTGCAATAATGCAGGTGATCTCATAGCGCAGGGGGTGGTAAATTTATGTTTTTAACATAAGCAGAAATTTAATTAATGGTAATTTATACAGCATCATTAGTGCACGTACAGAACACTTTATATAATAATATAAGTTAAAGATACTTTCTTGCCTGGAAGAGCTTCCAGTGTAAAGTTATGTTGCCAGGTTTTCTTCACATTCTGTAACAAATGAAACCCAGTCAAGTTTGCATGGAGGAGAGAATTGCTACATATACTTTCTTATCGCATATTAGTGAACTATCGACTGGTTTGGCACAGGCAAACATCAGGGAATAAGTTATGTGTGTGGATGAAGCAATGAAAATCTACTGGGTATGTGCATGTTATTCTTTCATTTGTTATTATGCTGTATATTTTTGTGGTTTGATATTGTAAACCGCCCTGTGATCTTTAGATGAAAGGTGGTATAGAAATTTTAAAAAATAAAAATGAAAAAGTAGTATTACTGCAGGCAGAATATTGGTATCACCTTAAAAGCAAGGCTTTTTGATAGAAGCAGTTTGTTCATCACACTTGCCCTCAAGTAAACAGATTTTCCAGGTTTCTGTATTGTTTAAAAACCTGCAAAACCTGCTTGACCAAAGGTGGCCAGGCAACAAAATAGATGCACACACCAGACAGCATCATGATGGGAGCCTTTTTCCAGCACTTTGTTTTCCTAAAATCTGTTAACGTCCATAGATATTTTGAGACCTGCATAATTTTAGCAGCAAAATATATGGTCATTTGTGAAGACCCATGGAACATAAAGAAGGCTGATCGCCGAAGAATTGATGCTTTTGAATTATGGTGCTGGAGGAGACTCTTGAGAGTCCCATGGACTGCAAGAAGATCAAACCTCTCCATTCTGAAGGAAATCAGCCCTGAGTGCTCACTGGAAGGACAGATCCTGAAGCCGAGACTCCAATACTCTGGCCACCTCATGAGAAGAGAAGACTCCCTGGAAAAGACCCTGATGTTGGGAAAGATGGAAGGCACAAGGAGAAGGGGACGACAGAGGACGAGATGGTTGGATAGTGTTCTCGAAGCTACCAGCATGAGTTTGACCAAACTGCGGGAGGCAGAGGAAGACAGGAGTGCCTGGAGTGCTCTGGTCCATGGGGTCACGAAGAGTCGGACACGACTAAACGACTAAACAACAACAACATGAAACATAATAATCAGTATACATGCCTGTGCACTCGTGTGGTCGATGTGATACTGTGTATTTGCCATGATATTTGTTGTAGGAGGGGCACATATGAAAAACACCAGATTCAATGCTAGACATACTAGGAAAAATATTGTTCTGCTAGTACACCTGGGGTCTGTAGCAGCAGAATGGAGGGAAGGAAAACAAAACAAGCTTCCATTTCACAGACAAAAGAGAAGTTCATGTTCACCTTAAGCTGTATCAGCAACAAACATGCTTTTTAATATTAAAAAAGGAGAAGAGGAAGTTACTGCAGAAGGATGAGAAAGGGAAGCAGCAGAGGGTTGAGCTGACAAACACCACGTAATTATCCTGAAAACTGAATTCACCTGCTCCTGCCAAGGATAATAATGATGAGGATAGATTTATTAAATTTATTAAATTTATACACTGCATCCATCTCTGTCTTGGGGATAATCTGTCCCTTTAATGTGAGACTTGGAAGATAAAAACCTATTGCCTCCAATAGGAGACTTTTTCCAAGCTCTGTCCCAGCTCCTGCCAACCTGGCAGTTTGAAAGCACGCCGACGCAAGTAGATAAATAGGTACCCCAGCAGCAGGAAGGTAAACAGCGTTTCTGTGCACTCTGGTCAGGTCAGGGCCAGATTTAGGTTTGATGAGGCCCTAAGCTCCTGAAGGTAATGGGATCCTTTATATGTCCAGCTGTCCTTTGTCAACAACAAATTTGCATTGAGTAAATGCTATATGGTGATTTATGGACCTAATAGGTATCTAAAGCCATTTGCACATAACAAAATATGTAGTTTATCAAAGTACTTGTTAAACTGAAATACAATTAAGAAGAAGTATATTAATAGTGAAATAATTATTAAGCTCTAACTGTAAGCAGGTTTTATTTGTTTTTTATCTTCTATTTTGGAAATGTACATCCAGGTTTTATCCCTTTAATTTGGGGGGGGCTAGAGAGTGGGGCCCTAAACTATAGCTTGTTCAGCTTATACGTAAATCCGGCACTGGCTCTGGTTTCCATCACAATGTTCCCTTGCACCTGAAGCGGTTCAATCCTGCTGGCCACATGACCCGGAAAGCTGTCTGTGAACAAATACTGGCTCCCTCAGCCTGAAAGCGAGATGAGCACCACAACCCCATAGTTGTCTTTGACTGGACTTCACTTCCAGGATTCCTTTACCATTACTCTTCTTCTTTTTAACCTATCCTAGAGACTGCAGCTGGGAAGGGAAAGTTAACGCTTGCCTTCCCAGCTGTATTTACCAGGAAATCAACCCCTTCCCCAAATTGGAGGGAAGCGAATATTTCCACACACCCCCAAGCCTTATTGCTAGCAGAGGAGGAAAGTGAGTGTTTATAAGCATGGATGTGTGGTTGTGGTGCATGCTTGGTGCCTACCGCAGCTTATTTCAGTTTGCAAATGGTCCACGGGCCCTGCAAAACATGAAACGACACATTGCATGAAAGAGCAGGTAGTCTTGTTTGTGTAAGAGATTTTACTTGCAGTGCTGCCCTGCAGGATAGCAAGAGACTGCCCAGAGCCTCCCTATCAGGGAAGAAGGGGTGAATGGAGATGTACATCAGGAACAAGGGAGAGATAAAGACTGACATTGGGATTTGCTGCCCGTGGATCCTGCCGCCTGAGGCAAGCACCTCCCCTTGCCTCATGGTTGGGCTGGCCCCGAGATGGCCTGATGATTATACCTGTGATGGCACCACTGATCTGCTCCAGGAATAAAGCTTACTGGGAAATGATTTACAATGAGTTTTTAAAAAATGTTTAAAATAACTTTTGTTAAAAAAAACCAGAAGCCTTTTTATTAGGAATTATAGGTGCAGAGAGGGACGCGGGTGGCGCTGTGGGTTAAACCACAGAGCCTAGGACCTGCCGATCAGAAGGTCGGCAGTTCGAATCCCTGCGACAGGGTGAGTTCCCATTACTTGGTCCCTGCTCCTGCCAACCTAGCAGTTCGAAAGCACGTCAAAAGTGCAAGTAGATAAATAGGTACTGCTCCGGCGGGAAGGTAAATGGCGTTTCCGTGCGCTGCTCTGGTTCACCGGAAGTGGCTTAGTCATACTGGTCACATGACCCGGATGCTGTACGCCGGCTCCCTCGGCCAATAAAGCGAGATGAGCGCCACAACCCCAAAGTCGGCCATGACTGGACCTAATGGTCAGGGGTCCCTTTACCTTTACCTTTATAGGTGCAGAGATACCAAGGGAACAGAAAATACTTTTCATGTACGCGACAACGTTAGCCAGAGATGGAAGGAAGACAAGATTCCTACAAGAGAAGAGTGGACAATAAAATTGATCGACTATGCTGAGATGGCCAAATTGACTGGGAAAATCAGGAACCAGGATGAGGACATCTTCAAAAAGGATGGAGAACATTTGTAACTTACTTGGGAGAAGACTGTAAGCAGATAAGCACATTGGCAGGAATACAATAACACTCGCAATGTGAAATGAACTATGGAGATAATTAGAGTTTTATGGACAAATAGAGAACGTTATGATATGCAGTGAAAAAGGGCTGTCGATGGAGGGAAGGAAGTCTGAGGATTTGGAGAATTCTTTATGCTTTGATTATATTTTTTGTATGGATTTAAAAGGAAATGGTAAAAAACCAATAAATTTTTCAGAAGAAAAGAAAAGAAAACTGCCTGCTCCGGGAGACAGATAATCCTCCATCCCAAATAAAAGAAACTCATTTGCTGATTCTAACCAAGAAAAATTGCAGCTCAGTATCGTTCTTTTAAAAGCTGAATGAAAAATGGTGCGGGCATCAGGCATGCCTTAGCAGCAGGATGGAATCCATGCAAGAGCTTGTATTCCCAAGACAATGATTTGCTAATTCCATTCTTAGCTTGTGCAATCCCGCAAAAGGTTTGGAAATCGGACAAAAACGCCTTTGAGATGACGCTTGTTATGTTTCACATTTGATTGTTTGCTGCTGCACACTGGGCTTCCAGCAGAAAAACAGAACAGAAGAGAGGTGTTTTTTTTCTGGTCTAGCAAAGATAACCGATGAATGAGGCTGACTTGTTGGTAAAGCAAATCCCTGCTGGGATGAGCTCTTTTTCTCGATCTTTTGTCTCCAGAGTTCATTTACTTCGTCAACAATTTCCTTCTGCTTCCAAAACACATTGGGGGCAGAAAGCACAATTCAAAAACACCACCTTGCTATATTTTAAAGGATGTGGGTTCCGTAAATCAGGTTTACCTGAAATAAACAAGTCCCTAACTGTGTAATTGAATGTGCCCCTGAACAGGGGGTCACTTTCCTCAAAGACACCCCACCCGTTTTGTGGGAGCAGCTAGAGTTTTAAAAGAAGCCCCGGAACATTCACTGAGCTACCAGTTCCCAGGATAAAGTTGGGGGAAGTTGCAATAGCTGAACTGATATATATAGGTGATAACTTTATAACACTGATATACCCTGCAAGTTCAACAAGATAATTGAACAAGGTGCCTAGCAGTTTTATTGACATTTACTACAGAGTTTCATTTCACCTGGTACTAACACCCTCCAGATCCTATCGATAATCATTTCACATGCATGCAGCTGTCAGGACTGCGTTGCAATCTCACCATTTTTCCTAACCAATACAGTTTTAGCCTAATGGTAGTGGCAAATTAACTCTGCTTTTGGAATAACACTGGAAAGCTCACCCAGCCGGGGCACAGAAAGGATTGACAGATTGACAGCGGTTTCTCGATTCTGTGGGTGGCCGTTCTTAGCTGGTGGAGCGACTTGTCTGGTTAATTCCGATAACGAACGAGACTCTGGCATGCTAACGAGTTATGCGACCCCCCAGTGTTCCTTTTTAACCAGACTTTTGGTTGATTTGATTGACATCCTATGCCCTTTTAAAATGTGGCTCTTTTGGGAGGGAGGGGTGTTATTGGGTTTTTGTTTTTATTTTGATCATACAGTGGTACCTTGGTTCTCAAACGTAATATATTTGACTTCCTTTTTTTCCCTTTTTTTTAAAAGTAATTTTTATTAAAGTTTTAAACAACAAAGAAATAAAAGAAAAACATACACAATACATCTAACAAAAACACAAAAAACAAAAAAAAGCAAAATTCAACAATAAAAATACAAGAAACATAACAATTTAAAAAACAATATCTCTGTTCCATTTCCGATTTTTAGTTGCTTATTTTCTGGACTTCCTCATACCTCCCTCTTTTGTATTCCAATCCAAATTATTTGTCCAGCAGTTTCTTTTCCACTTTTTTAATCCCAATCTTTAATTTAATTAGATATTAAAATATATAACTTCAACTTCTTAAAACCTAATCCTTGGTCTTAATATCATATGCCATTAAAATTTTCCCTCTTAATATCAAATTTCCATTTCTTTAAACATCTTTAATCTTAATCTTAATCTTTAATCTTAGTCTATCATTAACTTTAACCTATACAGCTGGAAACCTCTTGTTTTCAATCCAACATCACTCTAACATTCCTTAATTTTACAGTGTTTCTGAAGATAGTCTTTGAATTTTGACTTCCGAAGATAGTCTTTGACATTTGACTTCCGAAACGTTCAAAAACCAAGGCGTGGCTTCCAATTGGCGCAGGTGCCCTGGAAACAATAGTCAACAACCGTATCGGATGTTCAGCTTCTGAAAAGCACAATTCAAAAACTGGAACACTTACTTTTTCAGCGTTTGGGAGCCGAAATATTCGAGTACCAAGGCGTTCGAGAACCAAGGTTCCACTGTATATATTGTAGTTTTATATTTTGATTTTGTTCTGTGAACCGCCCTGAGACCTTCGGGTGTAGGGCAGTATATAAATTCGGTTAATAATACAGCGATACCTCAGATTAAGAACTTAATTCATTCTGGAGGTCTGTTCTTAACCTGAAACTGTTCTTAATCTGAAGCACCACTTTAGCTAATGGGGCCTCCCGCTGCCACGCCGCTGCTGCACGATATCTGTTCTCATCCTGAAGCAAAGTTCTTAACCTGAGGTAATATTTCTGGGTTAGCGGAGTCTGTAACCTGAAGCATATGTAACCTGAAGCGTATTTAACCTGAGGTATCACTGTAATAACAACAACAACAACAACAATAATAATAATAACAATAATAATAATAATAATCACCACCAGAACCCATACTCCGCATGCTTGCATTAGTTTTGTCTAAGCTCTTGCCATAAAGGAAAAGCGGTATTAATACACACCATGGATAAAATGTTGCATTTCCACAGCTTCTTTGGCCAAAGCCTTCTGTCGGCTTCCTTCCAGCATCTGATTTCGAGCCAGAAATCTGCCCTGTTTGCTTTTGGTCGACCTTGGCATCTGGCACAACAGCATATGCATTTCGGTACTTTTTCAAAGCCCCTCCAGCAGCTGTGAGATTCTCCACACCTGTGTGCACCTTTTATCTTTGATAGCGGCAAATACTTTGAAGGAGGTAGCAGGCTGGTCGAGACGATGCCTTTCTTCATCTTCTCTGTGGTAACATTTGTTTTCAAGTCACGTGGTGAAACCCATTTCTACTCTTTCTCTCCAAGCGCTTTACCATGCCTTGCAAACAGATCAAAGTTTCCAGATGTTTCCAACTTTACCCTGGATCACCCCCCATTAACCTGCTTTAAAGCTGTATTTCAATCAATTGTTTTTATATTTGGTGTTAGCCGCCCTGAGCCCGGTCTTGGCTGGGGAGGGCGGGGTATAAATAAAATTTATTATTATTATTATTATTATTATTATTATTATTATTAGGCTCAAACTCATACATTGTTATTTATTACATTTCTAGAGCATGTTTTCCTCAGAGGAGCTATCATCCCATCATTCACACTAATTATCATCTCCATCCTGTTCTTTTTTAAGTCACTGTTTAGGAAATATAAGCATTTACTTAATTCTAACATACCTTCCAACAGTGATTCCCTGTCAGGGAAAAAAATAATCCAGGGTATATAGAAATATATCACAACAACAACCAGTTCTGTTTTTGTAGAAAAAGAGGTGCCAGGACTCACCACGAATACCTCTCTTGTTCAGTCAGAATGGCAATGGCGCCCACCTGAGGTTCCGGCAAGTTCCGGCTGGAAAAAAGCTCCGACAGCAACAACAGCTTTGGTCCTGTACAAACTTAAAAGCAAAAATGGTACTATTTTGATTATATGACAAACTATATTAAAACACACACACACACAAAAACGATTTTCATATATATTATTAATATTTCAAATTATTCACACCAGCTGCTGTATGAAAAATGGCAGGCTGGGTGCTCCACTGTGACTTATATGCATTTATTTATTCATTTATTCATTCATTCCATTTATTGATTTATACTTTTTACATTTATACATTTTACTAATTTTAAACATTTCACTAATTTTACAATCATTTGGATAACCCAAAACTTGATTTCCTTCTCCCTCTTTCTGTGATTCTTTAAATTTGTTTTTAATATCTTCTACATGTCCAAATTAATTTAATTTGCTCATTTATTCATCTTCTTTAAATATATACTCTTATAAAACTGCAGGTTATTACAATAATCCTGCCAGTGTTCTTATTTGTTTATAATTAATTTACCTGTAAATATTCAATAAACCATTTGCATTCTTTTATTTTTTTTAAAAAATTGTTATCTTGATCTCTTATTCTTCCGGTAAGTTTCGCTATTTCTGGATACAGTATTCTGTAAGTTTTTGTATCCATTCTTCCTTTGCTGGGACTTCTGCTTCTTTCCATTTTGGGGCGAGTAACATTCTTGCCTCTGTAGTCGCATACATGAATAAGTTTCTATACAGTTTAGGTAGTTCTGTCCCTGTAATTCCCAAAAGAAACGCTTCTGGGTTGTTGTTTTTACAAAGGTTATTTAAAACATCCTTTTCATTTCATTATATATCATTTCCCAGTAAGCTTTTACCTTACTACAAGACCGCCCCACAGTGACTTATTTGGACAGCTAAACAGACACTTGAAGTTTTCACACAATGAAGATGGTCTTTTCCAGAAACTGACAAGGAATGGATAGATCTCCTTGTTGAGTTCATTCCAGAGTCTGAGAACAACAACTAAGAACATCATTGCTCTTCCAACGATGAAACCATCTTGAAAGTAGTGCCCATGGGATAGAGCAGTATAAGCACCCATTTCAAGAACTAAGAGTGCTTGCTTCTCTGTTTTGGAGGGACAGGGGGTGGGCTGGTGTGGAAGACTCCCTGGTCCTGAATGGGGCAACTGTGCCCCTGAAGGACCAGATGCGCAGCCTGGGAGTATTTTGGACTCACAGCTGTCCATGGAGGCGCAGCTCAATTCTGTGTCCAGGGCAGCTGTCTACCAGCTCCATCTGGTACGCAGGCTGAGACCCTACCAGCCCGCAGACTGTCTCGCCAGAGTGGTGCATGCTCTAGTTATCTCCCGCTTGGACAACTGCAATGTGCTCTATGTGGGGCTACCTTTGAAGGTGACCCGGAAACTGCAACTAATCCAGAATGCGGCAGCCAGACTGGTGACTGGGAGTGGCCGCCAGGACCATATAACACCGGTCCTGAAAGACCTACAGTGGCTCCCAGTACGTTTCCGAGCACAATTCAAAGTGTTGGTGCTGACCTTTAAAGCCCTAAATGGCCTCGGCCCAGTATACCTGAAGGAGCATCTCCACCCCCATCGTTCAGCCCGGACACTGAGGTCCAGCTCCGATGGTCTTCTGGCGATTCCCTCCCTGCAAGAAGTGAGGTTACAGGGAACCAGGCAGAGGGCCTTCTCAGTAATGGCGCCCGCCCTGTGGAACGCCCTCCCTTCAGATGTCAAGGAAATAAACAACTACCTGACTTTTAGAAGACATCTGAAGGCAGCCCTGCTTAGGGAAGTTTTTAATGTTTGATATTATTATCATTATTATTATTCTGTTGGGAGCCGCCCAGAGTGGCTGGGGTAACCCAGCCAGATGGGTGGGGTATAAATAATAAATGTTGTTGTTGTTGTTGTTACAGCTGGCTTTCGGTGCTATCCCGTCACTGCAGTTTGACTGTAAGCTGAACACAGGATTGCAACCAACTTTCTACCCCCAAATGTGCGGGTGTGGGTCTGGGTAGATGGATGGGTTTGGCCACTTGTGTGTTTCCCCATTCTTTCCCTGCGAAGAGGTACAACATAGTTGTGAGCCATGAAACAAAAAGCACCTAAAACAAAACAGAGCCGAGCAGTTCTATCCTGTTTCCACTTGCTCTTTTTATTTAATCCGCTCCACTTCTTTTATTTAAACCAAGGACTTGTACACCGACCACAATAATGAATCAGATGTTGTAGATATTATTGCAAATTTAGTATACTATTTTTTGCGATGTGCAAATGACTTTAGAAGACTTGGTTTTTATTTATTTATACAGTGGTACCTTGCAAGACGAATGCCTCGCAAGACGGAAAACTCGCAAAACGAAAGGGTTTTTGGTTTTTTGAGTTGCTTCGCAAGACGATTTTCCCTATGGGCTTGCTTCACAAGACGGAAACGTCTTGCAAGTTTGTTTCCTTTTTCTTAAAACCGTTAATACAGTTGCGACTTGACTTTGAGGAGCAACTCATAGCACGCGGTGTGGTAGCCTTTTTTGAGGTTTTTGAAGACTTTGGTGATTTTTGAAGCTTTTCCAAAACTTTTCCGACACCGTGCTCCGCAAGACGAAAAAAATCGCAAGACGACAAAACTCACGGAACGAATTAATTTCGTCTTGCGAGGCACCACTGTAACGTTTATTATTCCTACGATCCTTGTTTATAAAATCCAATAAAAAGTTACTTTTAAAAAAGCACCTGAAACTGTCATCAACGCCGGCAGCAGGTTGTGTCACCGTTCCGTTTTCTTCCAAAACAACTCTGTGAACTCTCAAAAGGAATGTAGCACAAAGACCAGAGGACGATGACGAACAGCGGCGATTCCA